GGAATCTGGTGAGCACTCGAGGATCGCAAAATTCAGGCCGCCTGGAAATGGCTGGGGGGGGCACCGAAGACAGTGCAAGACCATGGTACGGTCCGACTCTATGACTCTATGGATACCGTGAGGGTGCATGCTTACCGCTTACCAGCCATTCAATTCCCGATTTCGTGGCCCACGCCTAACCAAAAGCTCTAACACCTGCAAGCTCAGTAGAACACGGAAGTAAGCCAGAAAACGCCTCAGCAACCAACTACCAAATCTATAAGACGCCATACACAAATCCTGAACATCCTAAATGTTGAAGGCCTTCTTCTTCATGACGGGTGCCAGAGACAGGTGCTGTGGGAGTGCAGGAGGTCGGCGCTTGTGCCGGGAGTTCACGTACCTTGGAGTTTACGGTTTATCAAAGGGGAAAAGGCGGGACCCTTAATGGGGACTCCTACCATATAATGGGCTATATAATGGGTATATAATGGCGATTTTAATGGTATATACCTAGGGGTCCTTATTAAGGGTCCTTCCTTTTCCCCTTTGAGTTTAAGGTTTAGGGTACGGTTGTCCAGGGTATTTATTGTGTGGGTTGTGCCTTTAGGACCAGGTAAATTTCATAACAGCTGTTTTGTACCAAGCCTTGTATGGCCTCTTTTGCGTTTTCTGGTGTGGGGTCCAGGCTGGGTGTAGAGCTTCAGGGTCTTGGGCTACGGTTTAGGCTTTTGGGTTTAGGGTTTAGGGTCGTCTAGTTTTTAAGGGTTTCGTCGATTGGGCTTTAGAATTGTTTTTCCTGAACCCTAAATCCCTGAACCCTAGAACCTCTGGACTTTGAGCTTGTGCAAAAGGGAAAAGATGTCACAGCAGTTCAAGCCAGTCAGCTGCAACAACAATTTGAAATGCTGGCAGCTTTTGTAGCATAAGGCCTAGTACGAAGTTCGCAGCATGCTAGTAGCCCAAAGCCCTATAAACCTTAAATCCAAACCCCTAGAGCCTTAAGCCCTGAAAACCACGAACCACCCTCAACGATCAACCCAGACGATGAGGGTGCAGCAGCTGTTCGAACCCTGATAGAACGAACACCTCCCTACTCACCCTAAACCCTAAACCCTAAACCCTATCAGGCTGTCCTTCAGGAGTAGGAGTGGAGCATACAAGGGTCGATCCGTTGAACTGCGTAAGATATCGGACTTTGGGGATGAGTTACCGGATGCAGATTTTAGGGGTGAGGCTTTAGGGTTTTAGGGTTTCGGGGTTTAGGGTCTATGGTTTAGGGTAGGGGTGAGGGTTTGGAGTTCCGACAGTTTCGGGCTCGCGGTTTAGGGCTTAGGAGGTCGGCAAGGAAGCAGAAAGCAGTGCCCGAAGGCTCTGAGTACGCAGGTTGCGAGGCTTATGGAGCCAACCGGCCTGATCCATCATGAGGAACCACCCTGTATGTCCCTTGGGTACGGCCCCCACTCAGTAATAGTTGAATAATATTCATAACAAAAGTACAGTAGGACCTTAGTAGTAGCCCTATTATAGACTCTTACTGTATTGGGGCCGTACCTAGGGAACCACCGTGTATGTCCCCTAGTTTTGGGCAGCCTTCAGGCCGATTCCTCAACCCCCAAACCGAAAGCCCTCAAAAACATACGGTTTAGGGTTTAGGGCTTAGGGTTCAGGGTTCAGGGTTTAGGGTTTCGATCATCAGCGGTACCTAAACCACCGAGATAGGTAAAGTCGTTACTCATAAAAGGCTATTATTCTACACACTTTGAGCGAGGTATGACCATAACCCAAGGAACTGATCCTCAATGGCTTTCGCATTCAGCACACCTGGGCAAAAATCAGACAGAAGGGTTCGAGGCTTTCCGGCAGAGTGGGGGCTGAGGATTATGCTGGGGACCAAAAAAAGAAACTGATCCTATGAGGGTTACTACGGGGGTTACTATAAGGTTACTACGATATAGGGACCGTAATAATAAGAAAAGGATTTTGGAATATTGCGATGACCTAGTTCTGATGAGACGGGATAAAAGTATGGGTAATAATTCAGTCTATACCTAGAGGCTCCATAGTAGTTCCTTTTTGTGGTTATATTTAGGGTCCTATAAGGTTATCCCAGAAAGAAACTACAATGGAGCCTATGGGTAGTGGCCACGTGTGCTCGTGAGCCACTAGGTAAGACTTACGGGGCTACACAAGCTTAAAACGTCACGAAGACTTCAGCCATGTCGGTTTATGGTTTTAGGGGCTGAACCCTCTAGGACGAAAAGGTGTGCAGTCGAGATCAGCCGAGGGACTGAGTACCCCAGCCCAAAGAAAGCTACCCTCTTCAATTATGGTAGGGTTCTATACAGCCCAAAGGTTTAAAGGTTACCACTCCGCTACTACAGATTCTAAACCCCTGAACCCACAACCCCGAAACGCCCGGTCGAGATAAGACGAAGCGCAATTTCGGAAGATAGCTTTTCGGAGCTTCGCACCACCCGGCATGGCCCGAATGCTGCTGCTGGCGAAGAGGAGGAAGCCTGCAAGTGGAAGACATGACCAACATGAGGGTGTACTCGGCTGATGACGTCCTAAAGCCCAAATCGTCAAAATGCTTTGAACCCCCCCCCCCCGTAAGCACTAGTCGATGTTTGAGTTCATGACCCTACGAAAGAGTACGTAGGTTAAGATCGGCCCTTAATGCCCGCAAGTCAGCTCGAAACCACGAAAAGTCCTCATACTCGGTTGACTCTCAGGGTCCACCGGTTACACTTGACTTCTGTGTGCTCTCCTCGCCTTCCTGCGGCACTGCAAATGGCGAAGGTGTCATGTAGCCGAAGCCGGAGTAGCCGTACCTCAAATGCTGGGGCGACATATCTTACCGTTTCAGGGTTTGGAAAACACTACCGATCATGACAGTTTTTGCAATAATGATAACACGCCTAGTGGGAGTACTCATGACCATAATGATGACGATGATGATATTCATAATGCTAATAATAGATGACTAGAAATGAGTCAACATGATGATAATGAACTAATGCTACTAGCAATGAAAGTAAGGATGATCATGTTAACAGTGTAGAAATGGCACCAATGACAATATTATCATAATGATGGTAGCGATAACCAAGGGAAATAGTGATAATAATCCTGATGATGATAACCACGATGATGATGACAATGTTAACAGCAAATAGTGATGATGTCGATACGACTGGTAATAATGATAGTATGAGTGGCAATAAGGACAATTGTCGTAACCTTAATAATGACATTGATGATAATGATGACAACGACAATGGTAATCATCAGAAGAATAGACTCTGAAATATTCCGCAGCGCAAAGCCCGTGGCTGTAGACCGGAAGCCCCAAATACTGTGAGATATCTTTTGCCAGCCCTGCTCGTCCAACCGACGAGGCGAGGGCAGCTTGCACTCCACAAACGTACTACTTCAGGGGTATCCAAGAAGCTCAGAATTCTCTTGTTGGAGAACTAACCCCATAACCCGAATGGTCCATGCACTGATGAACTAGGTTCCAAAGTTGCCTAGGCCTTCAGGTACCTGCAAGGAGCGCCGTATGTGGGCACATGGATCCCGAAGGTGAGATTCCTTAAGATTCAGCCTGCTGGACATACGGTTCAGGGCTTTAGGGTTTAGGTTTTTTTTCACGACCCTGTTCCTCCTCGCAGTGAGCCCGAAAGCAGCGTCCTGCTGGGCGTTTGGTGCACTTCTTTGTAAGCCCACTGCCCCTGGGGTTTAGACCCTAAACCCTAAACCCCTAAACCCTAAACCCCTAAACCCCTAAACCCTAAACCGTAAGTTTAGGGTTTTGCGGCACTCAAAATCCACTTCACCCCCCTTTGGGAGCCCTTGAAGGGTCATTGGACCTGAGGTTGATGATATGAATCCTAGGTTTCCTTTAAAGGGATCTATAAGGATACCTTTAAGGGGCTCCTTTAAGGGATCTATAGGGTTTTAGGGTTTAGTGATATAAATCCTGCATTACCCACAATAAGGAATATACCATAATTCCCATACCTTAGGTTCCTTAACTACTATTTGCTTAAGAACCACCAAAAAAATAAAAAATATATATTCGTTATGGGGGTAATATAGGGATTATTATTTTTTATTTTTTGGGGGGCTTCTTAAGCAAATAGTAGTTAAGGTAATGCAGGATTTATATCATCAACCGTAGCAAGTGGGGAAGCTTGCAGCTCCACTTACGAAGTCCCCGGGTCCCTCAGCCAAAACCCCAAACTCTAGACTCCAGAATCCTACCTTTTTGAGTCACGGGCTGGAAAAAAGACCCCTTTACACCTGGACTACGCATATGCCAGGAACCGAGGGAAAAGACCCTAAACCCTAAATCCTGAACCCAAACCTCTCGCGGTAATTGTGCTTGAATCCAACGGGCGACTCGTACGCATCGCCTCCCGCTCCGGCGGCAGTGGTGCCTTTCCTCGCTTCGGTTCGCCCTACCAAGCGTCCTACAGGGGCCTTCATGATTACCTATGTTACGGGGGGGGGGGGGTCCTTATTGTTTCTATGGTATAATGGGCCCCCAAAACCTATGCTAGCTTAGTAAGGCCCCTATTTTGGATAAGCTTGAGGGCCTTTTGGGTTCGGGTTCGTGGCTCCATCGCTCGTTTTTCTGTCCACTTCAGACATGTCCCTTGAGGGAGGAAAAGCCTCAGCTCTTAGAGCATGAGGCAGAAGAACCCTCCATGTGAGCCTTGCTCTAGATAAATGCCTGCAGGTAGCCTGAGCTCCTTTACACAAACGGCCTTAAACACTCTAAACCCTAGAACCCTAAACCCTAAGACCCTAAACCCTAAAACCCTATAAACCCTAAATCGTTAGCCTATAAACCCTGAGCCCTGGTCGGCTAGGCTCTTTGGAAGTCGACTTTCTAGAGCAGGGCTCTGCAAAAACAGACTGGGCCTTCCTACGGAAGTTGGTGTCACTTGGCACCCGGCCCATCTTAAAACTGCCTTTCTTAAAGACTTTGTTTGTTGCGAAACTGTAAAGCATCCTCAGGGCGCAACCGAACTTGGGCCACCTGGGCCACTTGAGGGCCCAAGTGGACTGTTGTTATTTGCCTCACTTGAGGTCGCATCCGAACTTGGGCCACTTTGGGGCGCAAGCGGACCGGGGCCACTTGGGGGCACAAGCATGAGTGGGCCACTTGCGCAGGGAGTGCAGGTCTCGGCAGGGGCTTCTGCATACCAATCCTGGGAGATGTAGTACAGAGAGACGAAGCTTTTCTCGCAGGGCGCCGGAGACACTGAGGAAAAGTCACATGTGGGCTGCGGCGGAGCGTTGCGGAAGGAGGGCAAGTCCAAGGGCAAGGTGTCCACATCCAGGTTGTCGCATGCACCGATGTCCTCGTCCAGCACTTGCGTCTGCATCATGGCCGTAACCAGGCAAATGACCTTCTTACTTGTCCAGTATCTTAGGGGAACTAAGTTTAACAGTTAACCTTTGTGATCATAAGAGGATTATAGTACCCCCAAAAAGGTGAAAAGGTTATATACCTACTCAGCTACTGAAACCCCTGAACCTTTTTCCCCGAACCCCTAAACCCACAACAAGGTTAAAAGTTACCTACTCCACTCTTATAGATCCCTGCAAGGACCTTGCAGATCCCTTTAAGGAGCCCTTATAGATCCCTTTAAGCAACCTTTCTAGATCCCTTTAAGGAGCCCTTATAGATCCCTTTAAGGAACCCTTATAGATCCCTCTAAGGAACCCTTATAGATCCCTTTAAGGAGCCCTTGCAGATCCCTTGAAGGAGCCTTTATAGATCCCTTTGAAGAACCCTTATAGATCCCTTGAAGCAGCTCTGAGCCCTTATAGACCCCTTTAAGGAGCCCTTATAAATCCCTGTCAGGAACCCTTATAGACCCCTTTGAGGCACCCGCATTGATCCCTTGAAGGAATCCTTAATGATCCCTTTAAGGCTCTGTAAATGCCTTTAGACTGATCCCCCCTAACAGGAACCCAGAGAGCCCGATACCCCTTAATTAAGGAATACTCCTTAAATCATATTAAGGATCCTACTATAGTTTAAGCTATATTCCTTAAAAAAGGGGTATTAATACTCTATTCAGGATCCTACTATAGTTTAAGCTATATTCCTTAATTAAGGGGTATGTCTCTCTGGGGAAGCCAGCCTTCTCGGCCGCCCGGAACGTCGCCTTACGGGAGGCTTCCATGGCCTGGAAGTCGGGTTTGGAGCTCTCCCAGCTCCCCACGGCCGCACTGTAGCCTTTATGGTTTAAGGGTCTTAGGGGTTTAGGGTTTAGGGGTTTTAGGGCTTAGGGGCTTAAGGACCTATACTGAACTTAGACGCCTAGCAAAAACTATCATTTTAAGCTGTTTCTTGGGGGTTATAGGAACCAAAGATTGAAAACTATTTCTAAGTGCCCCTGGGTCGCAGTTCTGCAGACTTTCACACCCGTCCTCGATGCTCGTCTCCAACGCGCAGAAGCTGCTCTCGAACTGACGCTGAAGGCCGTTGCACTGGGCCTGCTTCTGCAGATACCTCTGAGCCGCTTTTTCGTAGTCCGCCTTCTTCTTGGGACCCGATTGCCGGAGAGTGTGGGCCCAGGTTCGAATCTTCTCTGCGCAGTCCATCATCACGTCGTGGTGTTGCAAGGTCCCCAAACTCCCGTCGTTGAACCTAGAAAGGGGCTGAGTACCCTAGCCCGCCAAAAGGTTAACCTTTTCACTTATGGTAGAGCTATATGGGTGGTTGTCAAAATTAGGGCCCCTTTTGCAGTCTTCATATAGTACGGCACCTAATATTTAGGGGACCCAAAAAGGGACCCGAATTTTGACAACCGCCCATGTAAACCTCAAAAGGTCAAAGGTTACCTACTCAGCTACCGAGGAACTGCGCGAAGCAGGGCTGCGGGGGCGAGGTAAGAGCCTCATACTCCACACGTTCAACTTCTCGCTTTCCAAGGGCGGCGGCCTCCTCACCTGGGAGTTTCCAAAAAATTAGGGGTGCCTTAGTTTGGGGTCCTCATAAGCATATAACAATCATATAAGAACAATATGTAATATTAACAATATTAATAGTCATAATAATAGTACTAATAATAGTAATAAGGATCCTACTAATTTAGGGTACCATATTAGGGTCTCCCGTTCTCGGAAAGTCCCACCTCTGCAGGTGGCGTGCTGGCCTTCAAGCTTGTTCCTGGGCTTTTAAGTAACCAGGGAGAAAAAAGTATAAACTTTTACTTCATAATGGTTCCATTAAGATAAAGCCCAGGTTCTTGGCAGCCTCCGGCTTTGAAGAGGACGGGGCCTCGCAGCTCGTGATGGCGTCGTAGAGGGCGTTGAGCTGCTTGATGGCTGTGTGGTGGTCATCCAGGGTGTCCTTCTTGATCTTGCCCATCTGCTTTTGGATCCCCTCCAAGGCACCCGACGAAGACTCATCCAGCTTTGAGCCATGCTTCCGGCCCTTCGCCATCTTCTTGAGTCCTTCCGTAAGCTCACCGAGACTCTCAGGGCTGTGGGAACCAGGATGGCCAGTAGTGAGCTGCCAGGTTTGCACAAAGGAGACGGCAGCTTTTCGAGCTTCCGTTTGCGCCAACTTCTGCTGCATCAGGCTGTGCTCCTCCACGCAGGTCTCGCCAAGCCCAAAGGCCAGGCTACTGAATGCTATCACCGCTGCCAAGCAAGCACGGGCCATTCTTTGCACGACTGTTCGGCCGAGGGACGAAGAACGGTTCGGTGTGGGCAAAACTTGAGCCCAAGTCCGTAGGAACCCACAGACAGTGGCAAACAGGTCATGAGTTCAGGGCATGTGGCTGCTGGCTGAAACACTCCGAACCTTCCCCAAGTCCAGAACTTTTAACGCGGAATGTGGTCTTACGCACTCAACCCTAAACAAGAAACGAAGAAGACCAAAAGAACTGCTGACGAGATGTCCGCCGGTCACGGCTGCGAAAATCACCTCCGCCACCTTCCATGAGATTCAACAGGGCTTAGGGTTCGGGTGTCAAGCAAGGCGCGTACAGGGCCGATGTCGACAGGCAGTGGTAGCAGCAAAGTTCAAAACGAGCGAGTGTCGGGCTTCGAAAGATTGTGGAGCTTTCTACTTTGTGTCATAGGGACCCCTAGATGGGAGGGGGGAGGGGGTAGGGGACTATCTTTCCTTAAATAGGCCTTATTAGGTCCTTGCTATGGGCATTAAGGCCCCCTACCTCCCCCCCCCCTACCGCCCCCACGGGTCCCCATGATCGTGAGCTTATAATAAGAAAGTTGTTTGGGTCGACATCACCACCGTCAAACTCCGCTTTGAGGACTAACGGCTATCACTATATGCCCTGTGGGGTTGCCTTAACGCACTACCCTTGGGCATGAACCCTCATGCCCTCCTTAAACTACCATAACCTACTTTATTATTGTAGGCACCCTACAAAATAGCACTTTTGGTAGTTCAAGGCTGGGCCCAGCCGCCTCCCCTTCCCAATGAAGTCTCGAAGATGTCGATCGGCTTCTCTACCTGGGAGTTGCCAAAAATGGGGGACCCTAAATATAGTACCCTAATCCTACATAGTAGGATCCTTCTTACAAGGGCCCCAAAAGAAAGTACCCCAAATCTCTAAGGGCACCAAAATAAGGTCTAATTTTCGGAAACTCCCACCTGCTGACCGTCCAAGTACCTGGGCTTTGCGGTCCGGGGCTTGGCAGTTGGGGTCTGCAGCGGTGCCTCACGGTTTAGGGTTTACCTATAGTCTCCATTGTAGTTCCTTTTTGGGGTTACCTTATAATATCCTTCATATATACTTGGTTAAACCAAAAAAGGACCTACAATGGAGACTACAGGTAGGCTGAGTTCGGTCGTTTGGACTTTGGGCTTCACGTTTCGACCTCCCGTTTTGACTGGGACCGAGGTGCCTACCCAAAGGCCCCAAAGTAGTTCCTTTTGGGGGCTCGTATATAGAATCTTATTAGGTAATCCCAAAAAGGAACTACTTTGGGGCCTTTGGGTAAAAGGCAGCTTACTCCCGTAACCATCAGGAAGCAGATGAGGACAGTCTGAAGCCCTGCAGCGTTGCGGGCATGTGAAATCCTTCGTTCGCGACATTGGAGGCATTCTCAGCGACCGTCGCAGAACACTTCGGGAATGTTAGCATGTTGTAGGGATGTCGTCATGAGGTGAAAAGAAAGCCATGGCCATAGAAAGCTGTAAACAAAAGCAGAACAGAAGTGTTAGGATGCGACGGCACTGTAATTTAAACGTACTGTTCATGTCAGAACCGCTGTTCAGATATGAGCAAATAAGACTGACTCCAAGCAGAAAGGAGAGGGCGGGGGCGAAATCTGGCCCTGGCACACGCTCATCTCGTCCCTAACAGTGTCGACGGTCACCGTCAACGAGTGCCAGCGACCTGCGATCGAGCCCTCCCTGAACCCCAAACCCTGTTCTGCAGCCAAAACCCTAAGCCCCACACCCTAAACCCTAAACCAAACAGCTGGCCTGGCTGGAACCTGCGAGCTACTGACATCCCAATGATAGCCACATCTAAGAGGGTTCAAGTCTAGCAGTAGTAGTAGTAGTAGTAGTAGTAGTAGTAGTAGTAGTAGTAGTAGTAGTAGTAGTAGTAGTAGTAGTAGTAGTAGCAGTAGTAGCAGTAGTAGCAGTAGTAGCAGTAGTAGCAGTAGTAGCAGTAGTAGCAGTAGTAGTAATAGTAGTAGTAGTAGTAGTAGTAGCAGGAGTAGGAGTAGGAGTAGGAGTAGGAGTAGTAGTAGTAGTAGTAGTAGTAGTAGCAGTTGCAGTTGCAGTAACAGTAACAGTAACAGCAGCAGTAGTAGTAGTAGTAGTAGCAGCATTTGCAGTAGTAGTAGTAGTAGTAGTAGTAGTCGTCGTCGTGGTGGTGGTGGCAGTAGGCAGTAGAAGGTAGAAGTAGTAGTAATAGTAGTAGTAGTAGTAGTAGTAGTAGTAGTAGTAGTAGTAGTAGTCGTCGTCGTCGTGGTCCCGGAAAATATTCTGAAAGGCGGGTTAGGGTTCAGTAATGCGACGTGGGAGCCTGGAAAGAGCTTTTTGTCGAAAATCTTGTCCTTGACTTTCACGTGGCACGTCGGATGCCTGGCGATAAATGCAGCAGCAGGCCTGCAACACCTGATGCCCTACGAAAGACTGGAAGCGAAAAGAAGTTGTTGAGATGGTTGAGTTGGGTTTGGGATTCCCCAGATTGATCACTAGCAGGGGTTCTCTTCACTCGAAGCTCAGCTGCCGAACCCCTCTTGGGTTGTTGTGATTTAGCAGGACTGCAAAACAGCACGATTCTTCGGGATTCCTTTTCAGAACGGCTGCAAAAATTAAAAAAACTTCCTCATGCCTGCGTAAGACACGCTATCAACCTACACCCTAAAAGTCCCTTGAGGGAGTCCTTTCAAGAAAAGAGTACAATGGGACCCCACAACACACCGGGGCAAGAACAACATGAGTTCAGCACAGACTGGGGCGCCGGCCAGCCTGTGCAACTCTCACCCCCTCTTAAGGCAAGAGCTCGGAGGAAAAGCCGTGGATGACAACGGAATGAAGCCCAGGCTAACAACATTCCCCTTTCTCTGCACAGGCTTGAGTGAATCCCGCCTGGATGTCTCGCACCTGTTCTCCGAACAAGGCCAGACACGGAACGATATCACTGACTTAGATAGCCCTAAACCGTAAAACCCTCACTAAACGCCCTAAACCCTAAACCCTCAACGCCCTAAACCCTAAACACCCTAAACCCTAAAATAAGCCCCGGCAGGACCAGAGCCTCGAAGCTTTGGTATTTGCTCGGTCGACGGGCTCCAGGCAGGTGCGGTTGAAGGTCACCCAACCTGGCCAGAGTTTCGGGCCACTCTAAAGCCCAAACCTCACTTTCTAGAACTGGTGTTTCTTCAAGGACGAGCCTTGCATTGCAGGGATGCTCCGAAGCAAGAGTTAACGAAGGACATGGCTGAGATTAGGGTTCAAGGTTTAGGGTTTACGGGTGTACCGTTCAGGGGTTGCCGGTCTACCTCCCGCCTGGCTGACTTTGTTGCGCTGCAGGGACTGAGAGTTCAAGGTTTAGGGTGGCGGTAAGCGGGTGACCCTGACGGTGGGTAGGACGAACATGACATCATGCCATCATGCCAAGGGGTGTAGACATAGAAGTCCGAAGCACAATGGCATCATCGTAAGCTATAGAAGTGTAGGCCCTGTAGGCGGTGAACAAAGGTACTCGGCTTCGATGGAGCCTGAATTCTCTGATCTTCGGCGGCTAGGGTTTATAGTATCAGGTTTAAGGTCAGCGTGTAAGAGTTGACATTGCAGGAGCTCGGGCCGTGTGATTGACTTGAAGCCGTAAATCCCGAAGTTTATCTGAAGCGCTTTCGCTGGAGCCAAACCCCGAACCCGATGTCTGTTCAATGAAGCACTTCAAAATGCCCCAAACTCTAAACCCCTAAGCCCTAAACTCTAAGGAACCCCTAAAGAATCCCTAACCTAAACCCTGGTTCTCTGGAGTGAAGCCAAAGCTACGTAAAAAAAAAAATCTGCTTCTACCTGGGGCCTTGGGCTTCTGAGACCGACACCCCAACACACCCAACCCGAACCTAACGGTTTAGGTTTAGGGTTTAGGGTTTAGGGTTTAGTGTTTAGAAAGTTGGAATATGATTATCCTAAACCCTTTATGGTAAATTGTAGGGTATCCTACCCCGAAACCATATTCCAACTTTCTGGAGTTCCCTTTAATGGTAATAACAGTGACGATAAAAAGCATGGCAAAAAGAGTCAAACAATAATAACAGTAGCAGCAGCAGCAGCAGCGGCAGTCGTGGTGGTGGTGGCGGTGGTAGTAGCAGTAGTACAACTCCGGAAGCTATGCCATAACAAAAGCAAAAATGAAGATAACGGTGATGGTCTTGGTACCAACAAGAACACTGGTACTAACTCAAATAAACAACCATGAATCAAACTTAACGAAAGCTAAACCTTACACCATGCTGCAAACCTCATCAAGATAACTGGGTAGTTATCAAAATTAAGGTCCCGCTTTGGGTATATACCCTAAATAATCGGTGCCGTGTTATAATAGGGACACCACAAAGGGACCATAATTTTTGACAACCTTATAGGAGCCCTATAGATCCCTTTAAAGCAACCGTTATAGGAGCCCTATAGATCCATTTAAACGGACCCAAAAAGGGACCCACCCAACTCTGCTCCGGGTCCTTGCGGGTCGAGCTCGTCCGTTTCAAAGACCTGATCGCCCTGCTTCACCAGCCGGAGCCTTGATGCTCTGAGTTTCGGGTTGAGGCCCTTAGGGATCTAAGTTCAGGTTTAGGGCTGCAAGGGGGCTATAAGAGCTACTATAAGGGATCTATAAGGCTGATTTCTCTACTTGTCGGGTATCACGGGGAACTAAAGGTTAACCTTTTGGTTATATAGGGATTAGAAAGGGACTATACTATTCAGAAAAGGTCAAAGGTTACCTCCTCGACTACTATGGTTTAGGGTTAAGGCCGGTTCGTTTGGGGACTTGGCTTGCAGGCTTTGGGTTTAGGGCTTGGGGCCCTAATCCTCGAAAACAAAGCTACTTGTTTATGGGCTTTGCTTTCCCCACACGCTACTCCTCTTAGGAGCTTGGCAAACAACGTCTTTTGGGGAAGCCTTTTAAACGAGAAGCAGAACCTCACACCACAACAACTATC